GAGACATTTTGTAAGAGAGTGAAGGGGTTTGGGAAGCTTCATGAAAGGATGGTGAAAATGTTCAGTGTCATTAAAGATGCATGTGATCTGTTTCAGTCTCCACAGAGACACAGACAGAGACGTCAGCTGATCAGAAGCTGCTTGTAATTCAGCCTGACACGAACAACTCTGCTTCTGGGGAGAAGGTGAAGTTTGTTTGCCCGCTGATCCTTAAGCTGGAGTCTCCAACACCCAAAGTTGATCAGTCGGAGAAGCCTGCTCAAGCCGAGCCTCAGCAGGCCAGTGTCAGCACAGCTAAAGGCACTGCCTACAGTCCATCCCCATCTGATGGCGCTGCGACTCCTGCACACACTGGAGTGTGGGAGTGGGTCCACGCTCAGAAGGAAGCAAAGAACCATCTCCAGATGAAATTGAAACTCACATCTCCAGATCCAAAGCTGCTGCGTCCCTGCGCAGTGCAGCTGGTAAATGTTCTCACGTTGCCTGAATCAGACATTCAGGGCGACGCTGCCAAAGCTCACAGCGTTGACCTCAAAAACGGTTGGCCTGTGCCAAAAGATCTCCGCCGTCATCAAGGTCTTCACACTGGCCATCGCCTGTGCTGCTTCACCAGATGCGCAAATGACATTTGGCGCCTCCAAACGGTCATCAGTCGCTCCCGAGATGGATACTCTTGCAGCATCTGCGGGAAAACATTCAGCCGGAGGAAGATCCTCCGGCGGCACAAGCGCTTCCACACCGGAGAAAAGCCGTACTCGTGTTCTGCGTGCTCTAAAACGTTCGCCCTGCGAAAGAGTCTCCGCCGCCACTCGAGGTTCCACATGGGGGAGAGGCCGCACACCTGCGCGCAGTGCGGTAAAAGCTTTCGGCTGCGAGACAATCTAAAAGCGCACTTGAGATTTCACTCCGGAGAGAAGCCTTTCAGCTGTGCCACGTGCGGCAAGACGTTCAGGATCATGAGGAATCTAGAGAAGCACAAAGTGAACCACTGTGAGCTCTTCGTTCCTTCATTCAGAACGATCGCCGGCTTAAAGCTGTAGGAACAGCTGTGAGCAGCCACACGGATGTCTACCTCACACTGAAGACACTATAAACAGAAGCTGTCCCGAGAAACTTAAAGAAGAGAAGTGAAAGTCATAAGATTGCTTATGTTGATTGTTTATTTGGAGTTGTCCTAAAATAACTGGGGTTGTAATTGGATCTTAGGAGCTTGAGAAAAGAAGGCAGCTGGACTTCTTTAGGTTTGGAAAGACGTTTCGCATCCAAGAAGATGTCCCGGGTATTGACACCATAGTCGCTGACGTGGGAAATTAAGGGTGAAACCACCTCCCAGGGCCAATAACCCCAATATGGTTTACCTGAGGCTCTCCACCTTCTTGTTTTTGAAACCAAAGCATCTTTCTAAACTTAAAGAAGTTCAGCTGCCTTCTTTTTTTTCTTCTGTCCCACCTCCTATGACGACCAATGACCTGAATGACTGCCATTTTTTTGGGGGGGGGGGTGGTTTCTGCTGTAATTTGTGTGTTTAGTTCATGCCATAGTTTTTGTGATTGTGGGTTATTAATGGGGCTGCAAGACTGCGAGAGTACTACTACACATGTTTTGGCATTAAACCTCCTGAGAAACGCACAATCAAATTGCAGGGAAACCCACCTGCCACTGCACAGTTAACCAGCTTACAAATGCTCTGGTGCTCCTTGGAGATGGAGATGTTATAAATGTCTTGAAACACAGCATTAATGGGTAGACCTGAGATATCTGGTGGTTGTCTGTATTGGAAAGCCTACGGTTCTCCACCTCTCAACATTTCACGTTAAATGATGTGCTTTTATACACTCTTATCTTTTATAGATTTGTTTTTCAAGTCTTTGTTTTTGTTTTAATTAACACTTATGTCACTTATTACTGACTTTGACTTTGTAGCACGTTACAGTTATTCACCGTCTGTAGATTTCTTGCTCTCCATGACCTGTATGTTTCATGGTGACTTTATAAGTTAAAACGTAACAAATATGCTCTCGTCTTCATTTAAGGGACGGGTTGTTTTTTTTAAACTACATGTGCATTGAATAACATCTTGTTTTCAGTGTTTTTTAATAACTTTTTCTGATGAACATTTGTCTCTTGTATCAATAAAAAAAAAATTTTTTTAAAGTTTATTTTGTGTGTGAAGATCAAAGCATTCAAACCAATGTAAATACAAAATGCAGCTTTTAATGCTGATTTCATTTATTATTGGGAAAGGCAGCTATTTAAACCCACTTTATAAAAAACTAATTGCCCCATAAACCTAATAACTAGTTGTTCCACTCTGGGCAGCAAGAACTGCAATCAAGCCTTTGTGATAGCAGGCAATGAGGTTTTTAGATGGCAGTGAAGGAACTCTTGTTTGTATAATTAATTTAATTCAGCCACATTGGAGGAGTTTTGAGTATGAAGAGCCTGCAAACTGATGCTTTTTAATATTTGGGTCATTCAGAGGTGGACTTGCTAGGGGCGATCGTGGCTCAAAAGTTGGGAGTTCGCGTTGTAATCGGAAGGTTGCCGGTTCAAGCCCCGGCTTGGACAGTCTCTGTTGTTGTGTCCTTGGGCAAGACACTTCACCCGTTGCCTACTGGTGGTGGTCAGAGGGCCCGGTGGCGCCAGTGTCCGGCAGCCTCGCCTCTGTCAGTGCCCCCCAGGGTGGCTGTGGCTACAATGTAGCTGCCATCACCAGTGTGTGAATGGGTGATGACTGGATGTGTAAAGCGCTTTGGGGTCCTTAGGGACTAGTAAAGCGCTATACAGGCCATTTTTTTTTGTTGATGTGTTTTCCTGGTAGAGAGCAGAATTTATCGTTCCATTAATTACAGCAAAGCAGCCCCAGACCGTCACACTACCACCACCATGTTTGGGATGATGTTATCTTTATGATTTCCTGTGCTGGTTTTATGCTAGATGTGAAGGAACTTAAACCTTCCAAAAACTCTTGTCAGTCCACAGAATTTTTTGCTGTTGACAGATGTACGACGATACTTTGTGTTCTTTTCAGTCAGCAGTGGTTTTCTCCTTGGAGCTCTCCAATGGATGCCATTTTTGCCTTGTCTGTTTCTTATTATTGCATCGTGAACACTGACCTGCACTGACACTGTAATTCTCTCATCACCCACAATCAGTCATGACACATGGTCGCCCCTCCCTGAGCCTGGATCTGCTGGAGGTTTCTTCCTGTTAAATTTGAGTTTTTCTTTCCCACTGTTGCCAAGTGCCTGCTCATAGGGTTGTTTTTTTTTGTTTTTTTTTATTGTTGAGGTCTCTATTATCTGAGGGTCTTACAATATAAAGTGCCTTAAGGTGACCTGTGATTTGGCAGTACATAAATAGAATAGAATGGAGCTCAATGAAAGTGAGGTTTGCAGTTCTTTTTGTGTTTTTTGTGACCACCTGGAAAAGTCATTGATGTGTTTTTGGAGTAATTTTGGAGTCCAAGTTTTCTCCATTTGTGGATAATGTCTCTCACCCTGATTCACTGGAGTCCCAAAGCATTAGAAACCGCTTTGTAACCCTTTCCAGACTTATTGTCACTGAGTTGGCTTCTCAGAAAAAAAAAAATAATAATAAAAAAAAAAAAGAAGTGTGAAATTTCTTTTTCCACCGCATCTTATCTCAGTTATAAGACACTTTTAGGTCGCAGGGTTATTACTCGGAGAGGTTATCTGCGTGTTTAACCGGCATGTTCTCTACAGAGTTCCTCTGAAAACAACTGAAGTTTTCCTGACAGCTGAGGACAAGCGCTGACATGAAAACTGGACGAGCAGAACAAAGTGGAGGAAGGACATGGCTTTCAAAGAGAGCACCAGGACCCTGTCCTTCAGTATTATATACTCCCTTTTATTAATCAGTTAGAGATAACGTGAAATTACCTATGACCACTATTTGAGTTCATTCAGCGGGTTTAGTTAGTAAAATGTACCATTTTCTTTATTTTCTTGTTCGTGCTTTTTTTCCAAGTGTCGGTAATTAACTGAGTCAGCACAACTGACTGACGCTTTTAGTTTGACTGGGTTAATTATCTGAAAAGTGTAAAAACACAATGGTAAGTTAGGGATAAGTACGCACAGTACCTGGAAATCTTTGACTGACAATTTAAAATCTAGCACCGACATTAACAGAGTGTGACTCGGTATTTTAAAAAACAAGGCTCTCTCTTTCAGGATGCAATGGTCTCTGTTCCATCAGCCATATTTTATTGGGCCAATTTTGTAACAGATATTGAATGGAAAAAAGTTTGGACTTTACCACAAAGGTTTTTCTTGACAAACAAAATTAAAGAGATTTCTTTTAAGTTGATTCATAAGTTTTACCCTACCAAACAATATTTGTCCAAATTTATGGCTGAAATAAATGTAAATTGTACTTTCTGTCAAGAGCAACCTGAAACAGTTTCTCATCTGTTTTGGTCATGTAAATTTACGTGTAAATTCTGGAAGGATTTCCACAAGTTTATTACTGACTTTGTTCTCCCTAATCTTCAACTGTACTATAAGGATGTTATCTTTGGCTATTATAATTTTAAAGACAAGGACAATGATGCTTTCTTTTTTATAAATTTGGTTTTATTTTTGGCAAAATTTCATATACACAAAAGCAAAGTCCTCGGCAGAAAGCCTGAACTTCTTGTATTAAAAATGGAACTTGCACAATATATAAGGACAATCTCCTCATCAAAAAACACGAAGGCTCTCAAGACTGTTAACATCTGTAACCGATTGAAACTGCTAACTTGATTTTGGCTCTTGCAAACTTTTGTTTATTTATGTTCCCCTTAATTTATTTTATTTTTTGTACTCACTTTTGTCTCACTGTCTTTGTCACTCTTTCTGTTCCTCGTTGTACTACCACAATGTTATCTTTTATGTGATCCCTGTTTTACCTGACTGTATGTCTATAATGTGATAAATAAAGTTTAAAAAAACCAAAAAAAAAACAAGGCTACGTTGACGCAACCGGAAACACGTAACGAATAGTCCACGTAAGCCCCGCCCACCAGGAAGTATGAAACATAACACTGAGGTGCTTTCACTTTTAGCAATGTATGTAGCGAAGACAGAAAACGAATAATCCCGACAAGCCTCCGACACCTTTTGGATAACGAGGTAGGCATTAAATCTTCGAGTGCCTTCATGCTGAGGTTGATGGTTTATTCAAAACAAACTCAACAGGAAGTGTTTAGACCCAGAGTAGTGTGACGCTGGAAAAAGTTTGCATGTCACGCCTTCCTTCTTGCTCTTTCCACGCTCGCTGTCACTCGTATTTTTTATTTTCAGAGATGGAAGATGCAGAGGAAAGCCGGATGGAGGAGATGCTCATGTGTCCAGTGTGCCAGGACATATTCAAGGATCCTCGGCAGCTGCCCTGTGGACACAGCATGTGTATGACGTGCCTGGAAGGCCTGATGGATCACTCCTCAGACGTCCCATTCAAGTGTCCAGACTGCAGGGCGCATTTTGGTCAGGTTGTTACTGTGCAGAAGAGCTACGCGCTGGCCAGCATCGCAGAGGACTTCAGGCTGAGCAGGAGGACCAGGGTGCCCACTAGATGCACTTTTTAAAATCTCAAATCTGTTTGGCAGTCTTAAAAAGTGTAAACAACTCTGCGGGACTGCAATACATCATTCTTCATGTCAATATCTGACATTTTCTCCCCAGGAAAAGCAGACAAAATGTGTGTACTGCGACTACTGCCCAGAGAAAAACATCTTGGCTGTCAAGACATGTACGAAGTGTGAGGTGTCGCTGTGCAAAGAGCACGTCAAGGACCACCAGAAGCTGCCAGTGTTCACTGGGCACCCTCTGGTGGGACCGCTGAGCGACCTCGCAGAGAGGAGGTGCCCACAGCATGAGGATGAGGTGCTGAGGTACTACTGCAAGTCATCCAGACGCTACATCTGCAGCATTTGCACACTGGAGGGCAAGCAGCTTAACGTGGCCACTGAGACCTCCACTGTCCTACGGAGACAACTTACCGTGAGTTTAATAACCATCTTGGACTCAATGTTGCACAATCAGTTTATCTTGATTCATTCATTGACCTCTTAAAATCCACCTGGTCACGGGCAACCAGTCTAGGGTTAGGGGTAGGATCATTTCAGCTGTACTGCTAAAATGAATGTATGAGACTAACAACTTCATATCTGCAAATATATCTGTTTAATATGTGAGTAAAACAAAATGAAAATCTGAATCGCAGCCTAAGACTGATTGCTATTTATAGATGTTAAGGCAATTTAAGGTAATATTGTGTGTGCATTTGACAGGAATACATGGACCAGCACTTTAAAACGCTCATGGATCAAATCACAGAATCCAGCAACACTGTAAGAAAACTGCAAGAAGACATTCATCATAACGTGAGTCCTGTTTCCTGACATCTTAATATCTCATTTCAAGGTGTTTACAGTTTGTTCCTGTGGCTAATGTCCTTTTCTTTGAACCCAGAAACAGAAAATGAACTCCATCAACGGTGTCACCATAGTCCTGCTCTTACTCTGGTTCATAGTTCTCTATTACGGTAATAGAACCCCGAGCCCCTTGTTCTTGTGTTTCTTTTGTGTCTATGTGTAAACTCACTCACGTCTGCCTTTTCTTTCTTTCAACCAGCCTACAACTTCTCTGTGGAGAACCAGACGCTGACAGAAGCGCTGGACGAGCAACAGAACCGCGTGCATGACATCTATTCCACGATCGCAGGTAAGGAGGGTTCAAGTGTCCATTTCACTGATGGAGTTATGCAGTGCAAATCTTTCTTTGTCAGCCCTGCATTGTTTGCTGGGTGCTAATCTAGACGCTACCCCTGCTTCCAGTCTTTATACTAAGCCAGGCTAACGTTCTTCTGAGTCTTTTTTATGTATCACACAGCAGCTTTCATATCCATCTCCTGGCAAGATAGTGAATACCGTATTTCTTAAAGTCAAAAGGTTCATGTCTGTGTGGTAATGCAGGGCTTTTATGTGCTTTTTTGTAAACTATAATTACTAAACTCTAATTCTGTTCCACTCAGAAGTCTGAATAACATTTATGTATCCCTCCATAGAAAGTTTGGTTTATCATTCCATGAAAAGCTACAGACCTAAAGAAACAGAAGATCAAGGTAGGACTGGCTTGAGGTTATTTTTTTTGGTAGCATTTGCGTGTGTGTGATTCTGTCTGTTAAGCTCGATAGCTTGAAAAGTTTTGAATGAATTCTGGTAAAGCTTTGCAGGGGTGTACAATTTGTTTGGCTTACATCCATCAAGGTTTTCAGGGTCAACTGATTTAATGGATGAAAACTGACAAAACGTGTTATAACTTAGAAACTGTTTTAAAATGTGGTGTGTATTCTCAAGATATATAAAGTACCATATAATGATTTAATGTCATTCAATTCAGTTTCACTTATATGGTGCAAAATCACAAGAACTGTCACATTTGACCTCTGACCTCACTTTTACATTTGCACTGTATTGCTTGTGTTGAGACAACTGTGAGTGTGGCAGAATTAGGAGAAACAAGAATATTGAGATTGAGTGATTGAAAGTAAGACTGCAACTTTTATTGAACGGAAAACAAGATTGAGAATTAGGAAAAGCGCAGGTCGGTCATCTGGTGACCTCCTAATGGTTAGCTAGCTTTAGCTACAAAGCTAAGGTAATTGCTTTAAAGTCTTAATAGACTTTGATTTTGTCTTATTTGTTCTGTAAAGTGTTTTGAAAGGCACTTCTAAATAAAATGTATTATTATTATTTTAAAACTGGTGTAGCAACAAAACACTGTATGTAAATGTACTTATAGTCGTGTGTCTGTTTGTCAGGAGCTCTCATGTTGGACCTCAACACTGTCAATCACGTTCTTGGAGTGTCTGCTGATCTCAAAACAGCTGAGAGAGTGAACGCAAAGCTGGATTATCCCAACAGTTACAGCCGTTTCGATGAAGCCCCGCAGGTCCTCTCCTCCCAGTGCTTCTCCTCTGGTGTCCATGTCTGGGAGGTGGAGGCTGAGGGGCACTGGGACATTGCTGTATCCTACAAGAGCATCCAACGAAAGTGCAAGGAAACCAGCGCCTTCGGAAACAACACAGAGTCCTGGAGTCTTGTGCACAAAGGCAAAGGGAACCTGTTTGCCTGCCATAACAAAACCAAAACTCCTGTATCTCGTGCCTTGCAGAGCAGCCGAATAGCAGTGGTGGTTAATTTCGAGGAGGGCAGCATCTCATTCAGTGCTGTAGATTCCACCGTCACACAGCTGCATGAATTCAAGGCTGAACTGAGTCAGCCAGTGTGTCTGGGTTTGGGGCTTCATCACGTGGATCCACCCAGCCGAGTGTCCATTGTCAAAGCTTCCTGAATAATACCGCACACTGTCCCAACATTCAGACAGCACTGTGTGCACACTGCCTCAAGTTCAGTGGCCTGAACCAAAGAGAAGATGCTTCAAAGCCAAATCACACCTCAGGAATTTATTTTTATATTGTGAAGCTTTATATGACATGCAAAGTGTGTTAAATACTTGATTTTCTGGTTGTAGATACTTATTTTTAATATAAATCTTCTTACAAGTCTTGAATAGCTTCCAGATATACAAATTGTAAGAATTTTAACATCGTGCCACTTTTGCAACAAATATGCACCTTAACCCCGTCAGTTTTATTTAAGTACTGGATTATCGCTATATTTAAAAATACACTAAATTAAAGCAAAAATAGCTGCAAGAATATGATTTAAAACCTTTGAACTGATTACTTGTAAAATGCAGTTTGATCCATATCTGAGAGATATATGGGAACCAGAATAGATGACTTCTTAGACAACTGCAAGAAAGCCATAAGTTTCGATCTCAGCTTTCCTTCTCTTCACGTCAAACGTGAGCTGACACATTTGACGTGACTGAACATGCACGATGAAGAGTTTTGCAGCTTTTTTGAGAAAATGAGCTCAGAACAACCTGAATCTGTAACCTTTTCTGAATAAAAGCCATGACAGGATAACTGTGAAAGCCAAAGTGTAGTTTTGTCTCGGCACAATTAGATCAGAGTGAAAAGTCAATAAATTCACTTGGCATTTAAAGATTTGCCAACACAAGCTAGAACAGTCAAGTTAGGGCAACAGCACCAAAAACTGCATGTGTGTCTAAGTCAGCCGTGTATTTTTGCCTGCTCCCTTTAGGGGTCGCCACAGCAGATCACCTGCCTCCATCTCACCCTTTCCCTAGCATCCTTACCTGCCACACTACATCCATGAAGCTCCTCTGAGGTCTTCCTCTTTTCCTCCTGCCCTGCAGCCATGGTTTGTAATTTACAAGCAGGAGAGTTAAAAAGCCTTTGTAAGCTGGCATTGGGGGAAAAGATGGACAGAAACAGAAGTTTGAGCAATTTGTCTCATTTATTAACAAAACATGGAGGTTGAGCATTCTTGAACAACTGTCTGATTATTTTTGAAGAAAAAGGCAACAATCAGTCTGGCAGGCCTCCGTACAAAACAGGTTATTACAGTGATACAAACGTTCTCTGCTAACAAAACAAGATTCCATTCAGTTACAGTTTCTCTCTCTTCATACAAAAGGAATTAACACTTAAAAATGCCAAACCATTGATTTTAAACCTTGATGTAGAAAATCAGTGAGCACCGAACGAGTTGTTTTTGTCCTCTTTTGATCGTCAACAACTTGTAATAAACAACTAGAAACTAAGAGAGAGAATATTATTGTCTTGATCATATCTCACACTAGCTGCCGTAAGGCCCCTTGGTGCCTCACTAAAAATGGCACACATACTCATATCATTACACATTTATCTACACTGCATACATGCCTTTAGTAACAAGGTTAACACTACTGGGCTGTTCCATTACAGCAATACCAGCTGTCCTGAAAAACAACTGTCAGACCTATGTTTCGTTTACAAATCGTGAAATGTATTTCTCTAACGCACCAGTTCTGCATCCACCCTACAGCTATCAACACATTCCTTGCGAAAACGAAGAAGTCTGTTGATGTGATGGACAGCAGCAGCTGTGTTACTTCACTGTTCCCATGTTCTGATTCTTTATGGAGCACCACGCCCTAAATACATCTCTGAAAGACAGAAAATATCATGTAAAAGAAAGTTTCTCTACATGTTGCTGAAAACAAAACAACTTCAGCTTTCACCTCTACACACCTGCAGTGAGTGGCCACACATTCATTACTGCAGTATTCTTTGTCCCAGTCTTCACTCTCTACTGCTGGGTTGTTGCAGCCTGCCCTTACGCACACAGTCTTCACTGCAGCGGTGTCCCGCGACGCACTCACCTCCATCTCCTGAAGAAAAAAGGGATTAAAATCAGCAGATTTTACACAAGTCTAGGTTTGCCGCAGCTGTTTTTTCTCCATGTTACAATATGTTAAAATCAGAAGTGAGAATATATCTTTAATTTTGTTAGTTTTATTAAGAAAACTCTTGTGTCAAAGTCAGCAAACTCGCTGATATACACTACCAGTCAAAAGTTCTCATTTAATGGTTTTTCTTTCTTTTCATGACATTGTACATTCTCTCTGAAGGCATCAAAAACTATGAATGAACACATAGGATGCTGTGGTAAACATGCTGGTCTAGTTTTGAATAAATCCCCAACAAAGTCGCCAGCAAAGCACCCCCACACCATCACACCTCCTCCTCCATGCTTCACGGTGGAAACCATGCAGCACGGAGACCATCCATTCACCTTTTCTGTATCGTGGGCAGAACCAATGATCTCAGATTTGGACTCATCAGACCAAAGCACAGATTTCCACTGGTCAAATGCCCATCCCTTGTGTTTCTTGGCCCAAACAAATCCCGTCCTCTTGTTGCTTTTCCTTAATAGTGGTTTCTTAGCTGTCTAATCATAAAGGCCTGATTTGCGCAGTCTCCTCTGAACAGTTGATGTAGAGATGTGCCTGCTACTGGAGCTCTGTGTGCCATTTATCTGGGCTCTAATCTGAGGATGTTAACTTCACTGGCTGGTGACTTGGATGAATTTATCCTCAGCAGCAGAGGTGACTCTTGCTATTCCTTTCCTGGGACGGTCCTCATGTGAGCTAGTTTCGTCATAGCGCTTGATGGTTTTTGTGCCCATTCATAGTTTTAGCAATTTTCCAGACTGACTGACCTTCAGTTCTAAAACTAATGGTGTACTGTTGTTTCTCTTTACTTAGCTGGTTGTTTTTTGCCATGATATGAATTCTAACAGTTGTCAAATAGTGCTGTCAGCTGTGTACTAAACTGACTTCTGCACAACACAACTGATGGTCTCAACCCCATTAAGAAGGCAAGAAACTCCACAAATGAACCCTGATAAGGATCACCTGTGAAGTGAAAACCATCTCAGGTGACTACATCATGAAACTCATTGAGTTGGTTTTTAAGAAATATAAAATATAAGACATATTTAGAGTTATCATTTTTTTCTTGCTTCATAATTCCATATATCTTGCTTCATACATTTGATGTAGATACACACACCCCCGACCAATTTTATGAAATTACTCAAGCAATGCAAATCTGCATAGACTGATAAATCAAACAGGAATTTGTACTTTCCCCAAGTTGTGTATGCTGTATTACAGAGGAGGTGAAAATCAGCAAACAGTTGTTGAACAGTCTTCCACTGTTCTTCTCCAAATATGGAGGGGAACGCTCCATTATTTACATTTTTTATTCATTCATTTAAAAATATGTCCAACTCAATTTCTGTGTGAAACACTCTGTGGAGTTTTAATTATTTTTGGAATTCCCTGCGTTTTGTTGGGTATTTCCATCAATTTGTAATAATAGTAATAATAATAATAATAATGGATTTTTAATCAGAGTAAAAAAGGGCAAAAACCTATGATGAAATCTCTGCTGTCTGCTGAAACAATAGGCAGAATAAATTATTGTTAGAATATTTGATATTAAAACATTAATTACAGTATTTGTTCTTCATTGGAATGAACTATACTCACTGAAGGGATATTATACCCTTAAAAAACTGAAACATACCTGTTAATTAAATCAACACAATTAGTCAGATGTGCTAACACCTGTAAAAGAGGATAAACCCCAAGTTTACTGAACCTTAAAAAGATCTAGCTTTACCTCTTCTGAAGGCAGCACTTCTGTAACATCGTCGTCGTCATCGTCGTCTGCGTGGCCTGACGTCTCAGCAGAATCGTCCTCTTGCAGCAGTGACACGACAGGTGGAGCCTGGGCAGGTGTGGTTTCAGTAGATGATGAGGCTGCTGTGCTAGGGACAATAATTGGCAGCGCCTGTTTGCCCTGAATGGGGGCAGGAACTATTTTTATCTGAAGTGGAGGAGGCGGTGTAGCTGTGACGGACACAGGGTGGCCTGGTGTTCCCTCGCGGGGTTTGGCCTGTAAAGGTGGGGGCGCTGGTGCCATCTGCTGGAGCCGAGGTGGAGGCGGGGCATTCTGCATCTGCAGCAATGGAGGCGGCTGACGCGAGGCGTTCGATACCACGAGGGTAGGCTGCAAGGCACGGACCCCTCCAGGCAACACGGTCACCACCTGCCCGCCTCCCTGCAGAATGTGCTTGGGGATTATGATCTTGGTGATGGTCTGGGTCGGAGCGACTGAAGCTGCTGGAGCAGAAACTTTGTTTGCCCCCGTGCGGGAACGTGTGGTCACCTCTGGGACGTCCAGGATGATGTTGGAGGCACAGATGTTAGTAATGGTGTTCTCTTCCATGGTGCTGTTTGCCACACGGGTTCCCTGGTGACCGGCAGAGGGAAGGGCAGCAGGAGTCGAGTTAACCACAGGTGGAGGTGGCGAGGGGGCAGTTTCCATCTCCTCGGTAACAGGCTAGAATGAGGCCATATTAAATACAGGAGAAAAGTAAGTCCCAAGAAGCACAGCAATGGACTGGTTTTCTTTTAGAGACAACATGACGTTACCTGTGAGAGCTGGTTGGCTCTGTAAGCTGCGAGCGCTTTCAAATACTCTTTTTTGGCTGCTTCTGTCTTTCTCTTGTACACCTTATAAAAAAGAAAAAGAAGTTTGCTTGTGTTATATTGATGCATTTTTTCCTAAATTATTATAATAAATGCTGACACGCTAAAAAGGAATCATTTTAAAAGGGGGATTCTACATATTCCTTCTTTGTTTGTCAGTGAAGGCATAACTATACGCAAACACCTGTTTCTGTTCCTCAGCCAGGCTGTCCCACATGGAGGCCACGATCTTCGACACCTCTCCGAAAGAAGCATTGGGGTTCTGGCCTTTAATCGCTGCCTGGGTGTCTCTGAAGAAGAGTGCGTACGCTGAAACCGGCTTTTGTGGCTCATTGGGGTCTTTCTTCTTCCTTCCTTTTTTCGCTCCAGCAACCACATTCGCTGATGCTAGTGTGGCAGGTTTACCCCCACCCTTCCGGGCTGTTCCAGGAGAAATGGATGATGGAAGAGCCAGGTGAGACGAAATGTTGGGGAGACCAGAGGAAGAGGAGAGAGACAATGGAGAGTCCACCAGAACACTCTTCTGAGAAGGGAGAGATTCAGTTGGAGAGATGGGAGAGCAGGCATTAGCTTCATCATCTCCAACACAGCAGTGACTGTTATTCACAGTGCAGGTAAAGTTTTCCACCTTCTCTCAATTTCTTCTATTTTCTTCATGTAACTCTTACTATATGTACGGTGTCAGATGTTCAAAGAAATTAAGCGATAAATGTATGTCAAGAAAAAAAAACGTACATCACTGAAGCTAAGGAGTAATTGCCAGCCAGCCCCCAAACTTATGAGCAAAATGTGGCACATTAAGCATCAACAACAGCAATCAAATGCTTTCAATAACTACAGATCAGTCTGACACTGTTACTCTTCTTTGCATGATCGCATTATTGAAGCCACATTGGAGAGTCTGTCAGTCTGAGCTGCTCTTCTCAGGTCAGAAACTAACTGTAGGTATTGTTCCTGTGTGAAACCAGTATATAAAGAATTAATTTAGCATTACCTATTATTTTCAATCTTAAAGAAAATCAGATGGA